CAAGTTGGGTCGAAGCAAAAAGTAATTAGCGTCGTGTTGCTTTTACATATTTAAAAGATTGTTTTGCGATTCATATATTTAGAGATTTTTTTGATTTTAGAAGTCCGGGAGGCTTAACCCTATTTGGCCTCTATAGATATTTCTGTTTGACTATACTTGCATACTCAATATTACGCTATTTTCAAGGGATGTTGAATAGAGATCAAATTATGACTGACAAGGAACCGACTTGTTGCCACAAACTCAAATCCATATATTTCCACAACCTGATGGGCAATGGTGGTGTAAATATTTGACATTTTAAACTTTATCTAGCAAAATTAACAGGATAAAATATGAATGGTCTACTATATATCAGGCTGCAAAGATTTAGGAATTAAAAAAATTTGAATTTGGAGCAAGAACTCATTTCCTTTGTCAATACGTATACAAAGGGTTGTTAATCGTTATAAAAACCGAGAGTTTTTCTTGTCGTTTGCTTTAAAAACGACACGATCGTCATTAGATAAAACAATGGCGCCACAACGAACGAACCAACGAACCATTTGTTTCGAAAAACGAAAAACTAAACAACGATACGATTAGAACTGAAAAAATACATTTATCTTTACATCAAAATCATTTTTTTTAGATTATTAATTTCAGACATTGTTGCGCGAAAGATTGTAAATGTTTATGTTTTCAATAATAACTGCTCCTTTTGATAGCAGCTGCACTGCTGAGAAGAACAAAAATGTTTACAATATTTTTAATGTGTAAAGAAAAATTGCTTTTCTCAAACCTGTGCTTAAAATCAAAACTAGAGGAGCTACGAGGTGATCAAGTTGTACCAATACTGTCGCAAAATTTCACCTTTTTCGAGGTTTGGATTTAGTCTGGTAAAGGGAAAGTATGGCATTCAGGCAGTATGCAATCTGTACAATACCAGACAAATCATTTTTCTGGCTCACTGAACGGAGAGACATCTTTAATATATTGTTTATTTACTTTCTATATTCCTTTCTCCCCTGCTTAGGGCTGGGCAGTGGGCGCGTTCAAACTTTTTCTAGCCGCTTCCTTTAATAGTATCGTTATACAGAATTAACGACGCAAAGCGCCAAAAAATGTTGTTAACGGTTTATGAACTTGTTAATAGCACAGCGGCGTATACGGTCTATTGCAGAATTAATGGTTTAACGGCGACGAAGACGACATTTTAAAATATCAAAACACATAAATAAAAAAAAAATTTAAGTGACATGCAATTTTAAGCCAAAAAAAGAATTAACCGTTAAAAAAAACGAATTAACCGTTTAAAAAAACGAATTAACCGCTTAAAAAAAACGAATTAGCCGTTTAAAAAAAATCAGTTTCGTTTTTGTTTTCGACCGTTAAGTTTTTGATTCATCCATGAGGTTGTCCTATGAATATCAATCCTCACCTGTTATTTAGAACATATCCCATGCTGTTTGAAAACCCGTTTACTCCATGGAGTACAATTACTGGAATTGGAACACTCAATAGATCTACAATGGAATTTGAGGTTATTAAAAATCAAATAGAATCCTGAGGCCGAATTTAAAGAATTTGAGTTGTGGCTTAATTTAAATTTTGGCTTATGGTGGGTTTCACTAAAAATTAAGTATACAATGGTTTAAGATTTAAGCCGGCGCTCAATTGAAACTGGTTTTTGGCGGATTTGAGACGTGGCTCAAATTCATTTAATTCGGACTCTGGTTTGTTTTCTTAACATTATAACGTTCAAATTTGCCTTATAAGTAACTCTATCCCGGTTGGATTTTTTATTGTCTAATGTAGTTAAAAAAAGAGACATGACCCCATATTTCCCCTTCCCCCATCTCTTTATTTCACATAAGAATTTGAGGAAGATACATGTCACTTAAACCAACAAATTTTTAAAGCTTGATCGGCTTATATATTGTTTACATTACACTTTCAATCTTTTAATGCACCTAGGAGGCCATTTTTTATGGAGTTTGGGAAACTGGGCCCTGGCTTGGATTTAAAAACAGGTGAACAAATTATTTTAATAAAGTTAAAAATAGTTTTGCTAAATATTATTCAAGTTTTTGAAAAATACAAAATTTAAAAAGAAAACTATAAATGGAAATTCCGTTGAAGATTGAATTTGTTACTTTGTTTTGCTATGAGTCTTCGCCGCCTACTCTCACCAGTCACCCCTATATCTTTGAAACTTATTGTGTAAAACTTTGATATTTTAAACTTAGTTTATTTATTCTAACAGAATTCATTTTTTCAAATTTCTGAGGGTTGCAAAGATTTAGGGATTTGAAAATCAGAGTATGCGGCAAAGACCTTAATTCCTGTAAACTTTCTACTGTGACTATCTGGTTTAAGTGGTGTGCACTGTACAGGGTTACTCACAAGAAATGAGCCTTCTGAGAGTCAGAATAGAGTATTTAATCCATCTTTTACAAATATTCATAAACATGTCTTAACCTCTTTTAGTTAGTTCAACAGACTTTAAGCTCGTCATTGAAGGCTCATCTTTTGTGGGTATAACCCCGTAGGTAACATGCTTTCTCATACAAAAATTTAACTTCATCTTGCGGAAGAATATGTATCTTTAAAAGATTTTTTAAAGTTCTGTTCAGAGGGTCTGCTGAGTACTCCTGGGCTGGGCTGGGAACTAGAATGTATGATCTGCAGACCTGGCAGAGTATCTGTATCAGTGTTGATATGGAGATAGGAAACATAAAGGGAGGCAGAAATTGAATATTTCAATTAGAGTTTTAAGTTGACAATATTTTAGTTTGGCCAACTAGATTATTAATTACTTAATAGGTGGCGACAGAAAAATGTACCAATTATACACGACGTCACAAGTGTCAAATATAACAAGGAAAACAACATTTTCTCCCATTAGTTGACATGTTTTCCAAGATTAAATAAAAAAGTGTAAAAACAGAAAATAAAGAGCACAAAATTGCACGGATTTTTCTGAAGATAAGTTCTTTAAAATCAATATTATTAATAATTTTGTCAGACACATAAAACTGTTGACACTTGTGACGTAAGAATACAGCTGTACTGAGAGTGAACAAATTCTACGTAGCCATCTATTGTACTTGATAATATATTTGAGTATTACTACTTTTAAACATTGATATTCTCAGATGGTAGGTAATGAGGAAGTTATCTATGAGGGAACATCTGAGGCCATCGTAGCATTTGGAAAGAAGTCCAGTGGATCAGTTGATACAGCAACTGCAGGCTGCTTGTATAGAAAAGAGCGAACAGGATATCAGTCTATGTATGGAATGGTAAGAGAAACAGCTTGGGTTGATAATATGTTTTATAAATTGACTACAGCATATTATTATCCAAACTCATTCTGCCTTTGTCTTTTTAAAATTGTTTCATTGTGCATATTCAGTGTTACCCACAACAGATGAGACTTCAGAGACGACTGAGAATTGCTTTTTTTAATTATTAAAAAAATTTAACGCAAATTCTACACTAAACTAATTAGTTGTTCAGGAAAAGGTTGAGAAAATTAAAATTAATTCTTACCATCAAAAAAATTAATCTTATTCAGTTATAAGCTTCCATAATCTCTCATTCTTCACAAAAATTTTCTGGAATTTTTATTGAAAGAACGAAATTTGAAGAATTTCTAGAAATCTATAAATAAATTTATAGAAAATAAGAAAGTCAATATAATGATGAAAAAAGAAATTATAGATTCTAACATTGATTTATTGAGAAATTTCTATTGAGAAATATGTTCCTAAACATCTAATTAGTTTACTGAAAAACTTGTATACATTTTTCGTCGTCGTTATTTAATAAATTAAAAAAGCTATTCTCAAAACGGACCAAATTTATGATTTTGAACGATGACTTTGCTTCAAACTCAGTAATTATACATCGTGGAAACGTTTTATATGTCTCAAATGAATCCTAAAAAATTTTTTCACAAAACTACATTTTCAGTTAAACTACGATACATTGCCAGTCACTCCCTTTAAGGACAATTTTTTTTTGGCAACCACTCTATAGCCTCATCACAACATTAAGACTTGTCTTAAACACTTGATTTACAGCTTACAGACTCCCAACATAAAATGTTGAGACATTGTACCGACTACAAACTTAAAGGAATCAAGTCTTTACCAAAAATTCTTATTTTCTAATCCCATATCTTTGCAAAGATATAGGGATTATAAAATTAGAGTTTGTGGCAAAAATACTCAATTCTTTCCAACTAAGGTTTTTTTCCTACGTGCTTCGACCCCTGTTTATATTAATTAAATTGTTAAATCATATAAAAAATATTTAGGAATCAATTTCAAGTAGAGAATACTAATGCAGTTTTTAATTCTAAGAAACATTTACAGAATGCATTTTTTGCTAAAATCAAAATTAACCACCGCAAATGGCCTTTTGTGAGAAAAAACGCTAGAAGGAGTGTTTTTTCTTCTCAAAATATGTCAATATGGGCATCAAAAGACCCGTCTTTCCAAGCCATATTTAACGAAAAAAAACCGTTTTACAAAATAATGAAAAATATCCAGGTTGGAGCTGAAAAACTAGGGAAAACAGCTGATTTTGTGATTTCCCCAATTTTTCCCCCTTAAATGCTTCTAGATCGCATTTTTTGAATATTTTTACAAACCGTTTGCTGCGATCTTTTGATACCCATATCGACCAATTTTGAAAAAATTAAAAAATCACTTGTAGAACCGGTTTTTTGGCCACAAATAGCCATTTTCGATGAACAGTTTTGATTTAATCGAAAAATGCGTTTAGTAAATCTGCTTAAAATTATAGAGCACAGTAATATTAACTACTTGATTTGTGTTTTATGAAAATGTTCCACCCTTAACATATACAATTAAAGGTTACTGACATGCAATTGTTCAGTGGACTACTAACTGTGGATGAAATGATTCAAATCACTGGCGAGTATTTACAGTAAAAATACAATGTTAATCATAATTTATATTTTTTCATCCTTCTTAAACCATTCAGGTTGCAGAAGTTTAAATGAAGGAGATATTATTTCATGGAAGAATACAGATTGGCAGCTTGTTGGTTCTAGTAAATCAACTCAAATTCAAGTAGGAATGATGAAATGAACGTTAATAATGTGAAATGAACGTTAATAACATGAAATGAACGTTAATAATGTGAAATGAACGTTAATAATGTTAATAATGTGAATTAATGAACGTTAATGACATGCAATGAACGTTAATAACGTGTAATGAACGTTAACAATGTTTATAATGTGAAATGAACGTTAATGACGTTAATGCCATTAAATGAACGATAATAATGTGAAATGAACGTTAATCGCGTGAATTGAACGTTAATCACATGAAATTAACGTTAATAACGTTAATACCATTAAATGAACGTTAATAATGTGAAATGAATGTTAATAACGTGAAATTAACATTAATAACCTGAAACGCACGTTAAAAATGTGAAATGAACGTTAATAACGTGAAATGAGCGTTACTAACATAAAATGAACGTTAATTACGTGAAATGAATGTTAATAACGTAAAATAAACGTTAATAACGTGAAATAAACGTTAATAACGTGAAATAAACGTTAATAACGTGAAATGAACGTTAATAACGTTGATAACGTGAAATGAACGTTAATAACATGAAATGAACGTTAATATCGTAAAAAGAACGTTCATAACGTGAAATAAATGTTAATAATAATGGTCGAATATAGGAACTAAAGCTATGCTACAAACTCAAATTTTCTAATCCCTATATCTTTGCAAGCTGATGGTCTAAACCTTTGATATTTCAAACTTAGATTATTTAATCTGGCAGAATTTATAGTTGCAAAGATACAGGAACTTCAAATTTCCTTTTTAAGTTTCTTGATTTGGAATCTGAAGTCTGTTCTAAACAAGATGGAAGCCTTCATCTTATCCCTTTCTTGTCCTCTTATGATCAAGTATCATCTATGTGCAGGTGAACTTGATGCCAGAAAACCTTTTCAACATTTTTATCATAAATGACATGAGAAATAAAATCGCAAGATGAAAGTATTGTCGTTTTTTAGTTTAAAAAGTTCAAAATTCTGTTCATTTTCTATTTAGTTTCTGAAGCTTAAAATGTGCAAGTTATGTTTTAGCGAAACCACAAAGGACAAACATCACTTTTCACAAACAAAACATGGATGTATAATCACACTTGTATGGATACGGTTGTGAATCCTACGTGCCAGTCTATCAATGAGTTTCACCTATTTACCTAAATATTGTTTCAAATTATGAAAAACAAATGTTATGATTTCAGTAAACTCTCTGGTAAACCTGTTTCCTATGTGAACAAAGACGACTTTATGAACCTGGGAACCTTCCTGATCAACTCAAATTTTAAAAATACCCCATGCTACACTCTTGATGAAGGAAATCCTGAACACTATTTTGCCAGGTTAGGAAGTTAGGTTAGGAGGTAAGGCATCTAGGAATTTTGCCAGGTTAGGAATTTAGGAACTTTTCCAGGTTAGGAAGTTAGGAAGTTTTCAAAGTTGAGGAAATTTGCCAGGTTAGGAAGTTTGCCAGGTTAGAAAGTTAGGAATTTTGCTAGGTTAGGAACTTAGAAAGTTTGCCAGGTTAGGAAGCTAGGAAGTTTGCCATGTTAGGAAGTTTTCCAAGTTTAGGAAATTGGCCAGGTTAGGAAGTTAGGAAGTTTGCCAGGTTAAGAAGTTAGGAAGTTTGCCAGGTTAAGAAGTTAGGAAGTTTGCCAGGTTAAGAAGTTAGGAAGTTAGGAAGTTAGGTTAGGAAGTATCAACAAACATATGGAATTTTTCAGACTGGATTGACTTTAAAGTGTCTCAACGCCTTGACCAATGATTTTACAACACCAGCTCACTTCTAGCTTCATATTTAAGAAATAAATACTTTAAAAAGAGTGACCGTCAATGTTTGGTAATGAAACTGAGAATGTAGTATTGTGGACATTTTGTTTAGGAATCATTTGAGACATATACTACTATAAATTGCCAGTCACTCCCTTTAAAAGTAATTAATTAACCCCTTATTTAAAGAGTGATATTCGTTGTCCTTAAACTGAAGTATCTGAGTAACGTTGAAGAAGATATCACCGTTTTCAAAAGAGTTTCTGTCAATTTACTTTCTTATTTCTGCTACATAATTCATTGAGTGACCCGCACCTTCAATTTATTATTGTTATCGGTCCAAGTTTTCAAGAGACAAGTTTTGAAAAGTGCTTGTAACCCTTTATTTGGAAGGTAACTTGATATTAGGGAGTCAGTCCCTTTTCAAAATATATCTTTTAGAGGATATACTGCGGTTACTGATGAGATGAAGGAGGGGCTATTTATTGATCCGTATTCTGTTGCTCCGGTAGATAAATATTTTATTCAATTTTGGGTAAAAATAACATCTAATATTTCTCCGTTAAAGGGCCATAATGTCACTTTATCGACCTCCTATTAAAATTTAAAATTTCTTACTTAATATTTCCCGTAGATGGGCGATAATGTTAGTATATCGACCTGCTATTAGATAAATTAAGTAACATTTTTCCTCTGAACAATATTACCCATGACAATGACAACAAATTTTGATGAAATTTGACATGGTCAAAACCCGGTATAATATCAATTGACTGAAGACTTGAAAGGCGTCCTTTTTCTTTGAACATTTTTGCGGCATTCACTGTAAGAAACCTAATTTTAAAAATATTCTTTAAAAAAAAATTTTTTTTTCACAAAATAGCCTTAGTATTGCTATTTCTGAAATATGGTCTGCAGTATTGCTATTTCTGAAATATGGTCTGCAGTATTGCTATTTCTGAAATATGGTCTGCAGTATTGCTATTTCTGAAATATGGTCTGCAGTATTACTATTTCTGAAATATGGTCTGCAGTATTGCTATTTCTGAAATATGGTCTGCAGTATTGTTATTTCCGACATGTGGTCAGCAATTTTTTGCGTTAGAATACCACTGCACTCTAAATTGCGAAGTCAAAAATTGCTTATTTGGAAGCAACAGTCAATTAGGTATTTTAGCGATAAAAATGATTGCTCGTTAATCGCTAGTTTACTTATGTTGTCTTGATACAAATCCTACCATTTAATTGTTGAATATTAAATTGCATATTTTCTCTTACATAGGTTAGTTATTTACCATGGAGAGATGGATTTCCCTATGCAGATGGGGAGCAATATAACAATGTTGGAATTGCAGCTACAATCAAACTCGACAACTTGACTAAGGAGCTTGTCCTCGTAAATAATCAAATTGAAAATCATGAATCGTCCTGGCAACTTTGTGGAATATGTAAAGTTGAAGCTTTAAACAGGTTTATGTTTGTTTAAATCATTGATTGGTATTTCTGTTGCTGTTCAAATTATAGAGCCCTTCGCTTTTTAAATACTATTAATGGTGTTGTTGTCCTGTGATTTATACCGTCTGTAGAAAATCCCTACCTGGCCGCTTCCACCCTGCTGATTAACGTCGTTTTATACTCTAGCCCGTCCGTCCCTTTTGGGTTTAGGTTCATCAAAACAGCTCCGAGCCATCTTGAGCTCTCCTGTTCAATAAACAATTGTTCAATAGAAGTTGTTTTAAATATTATTGTTCTTTCATACTGTTACGTTGAAAAAATATAATTTGAATTGAATGAATTGAAAATTCAAGTTAACTCTTGAAGCATACTGCAATGTTTATATTTAACTAAAATACAATTTAAGTCTTGATTCTTGAAGCATACTGCAATATCTATATTTAGCTAAAATACAATTTAATTTCTTGAAGCACTGCAATGTTAATATTCAGGAAGGTTCATGTTCTTGGTCTTTGTGAAAAAACTATCTTTGACACTGAATACCTTTATACAATTGATAAAAATGGAAAACCTCTTTTTCTTGGCATAATGTCTTCTGTAATATTTTATGAAATGGTAAATATTATAATCAAAATCCCATCTGATCAAAATACCCAAGTTGTTTTTTTATGTTAGGATATTGAAAAATGGGTTTGGTATTCAAGAAAAGATAACAAAAGCATGGCGACAATCTCAGCTCTCGAAACCACATTACTTTTAGGTCTTAGAAAAGTTGATTTTAGGTGAAAAGTTTTTTTTGGTTTTAATTAAAAAATTTCTGAGATGAACATTCATCCTGTTCATGTTTTTATTCATGATAAAATTCAAGAAGATTCTATCGAGATTTACAAAGTTTAATATATTTGACTGTATGCTTCTAGTGGAGTTATTAATGATGCGTGTACTGATGGTGGTACACCATTTGCTGATATAAAGTTTAGCACTTGTAAACAAGATCAATTCACATGTTATGATGGCCAGTGTATTGATATTGAACACAGGTATTTGTGTAAATATTGTATTTTAAAATAGATCTTAGTGTTAAAATTGATTAACTAAACATTTTCAAGAAACGTTGGCCCAGAATTCTAAAACATGTCCACATTTCCATATAAAGAGGGAGGGGGAGCTTCCTGAGTTTGTTTTTAAAGATTTCTCTCTAATTTTTGGCTTGCAGGCCTGAATTGGGATCTAGTTTTGTAATCAAAAACCAAAATGGGGGGAAAACAATTTTTGGCGCTTTTTTCGGACATTTTTTCTAAAGAAAATCCGAAATTCCCCCCCATTTTGGTTTTTGATTAAAACTATTTCCCAATTCAGGTTTGAATGCAAAAATTTCAGAGAGAAATCTTTAGTAATGGTCAAAAGGTCCATGGGCCTTTTGGAGGAAGAAAATTATGGAAAGGGGGGGGGGTGTATTTGAATTTCCCGTCTCAAAGTTAGTGAATTTAGACACCCCGCATGGACTTAACACAAAAATATAGGGTAAATTTGTTTCTCCTCATTTTAGTTTTTGATCCCACTTCAGCTCTGGTCTGAATGCAAAAAATCAGAGAGAAATCTGTAAGAACGAAGCCAGAAAGCTACCCCCCCCCCACACACCTTTGAATTTCAATTTTATAAAGATAGTTTTGAAGATGTGCTTAGATGTGATGAGAACACGAATTGCGCAGACAAATCTGATGAAGAGGATTGCAGAATGATTTATATGAAAGAAAATTACAAAAAAACTGTGGCACCATTCAGGAAACATTAACTTTTCAAATTTTTATTACCAACTTATTTTTTACTTTTTTCTTAAATCATTTCTTTTCAGTTTTGAGGAGGATTCCAATATTCCTGTGAATATTAATATTTCTATAAGAGTAGAAGATTTCATTAAAATAGAAGAAATAAACCATATATTTACTCTCAAGGTAAAAATTAAAATGAACAGAGCTGGGAACTTTAGAATGGTGGATATCAGGATCAATGTTTAATCCTCTGTTTTTGCTAATCTGCTAATCTCGAGACTAACATAATTTCGAGATTATGTTTGTCTCGAGATTAAATATTTAGATTAACAAGTTTGATTCTAGGAATGCCAAAGGAATTGAGTTTTTCCCACAAATTATAATTTTTTTATCCCAATAGCTTTACAACCTGATGATGGTGCAAATCTTTGATTTTTCAAACTTAGATTATTTGATCTAGAAGAATTCACAATTTGAAATATCCAAGGTCTACGACATTGGGTTACAAAGATATGGAGATTAGAAAATCAGAATTTGTGGCAAAAACTCAATTCCTTTGCTCGTTTTCTTGACTGGAAGGGCCTTCACTTAATTTCTCACTTTGCTTTATTAATACAGAGCTGAAAACCTTTGAATAGTGGATATCAGGATTAATGCTTAATCCACTCTTTTTCTTAATCTCCAGATTAAATATTGCTTGTTTTACTCTTGATTTTAATCTACAGAAAAGTCAACAGATCCGGATTAAGGATATCACATTCTAAAGTTTTCAGCTCAGTAGTGAAATTGGTTAAAAACGAGTCTTAAACGTATTATTAAATAATTTTCTTCACCGATTAATTTACAAAATGACCGACAACAAATTTTTAATTTGTTAGCAATTGCGGATTTCTCTCATGGAATTTATTTTCAATGCTGTCATTGGTCAATACAATTTACGAACTTTATTCCTGCACTCTCATTGGAGAAAACAATGTACGGATATCCAAAGAGAGAGAAAAAGAATGGATTAAGGACTAAAATTAAAAGTTACCATAATGGATATTCGGATTAAGTAGTCGGGATTAAGTGTATCCCGTTCTAAAGTTCCCAGCTCAGGGAAAATAGATTAACCAGGATGGAAAATCAATATGATTAAATTATTCTAAATAGTTTGCAATGGTATTGGAGTGGTATGATTACCGCTTGACGTATCATAATCTGAAGAAGGTTAGATCGGCGAATGCTCTCACTCTAGATGAAATGAATGAGATCTGGATTCCTTTTGTTGTGTTTAAGAACACTCAAAACAATGATGCTACTGTGTAAGTAGTACAATAGTAAAACATTCTAATTGAAGTAATTAATATTTTGCAAGTAGAAGATATTATGTCCAACAATATTTATCTGTAGATTAAGTAAACTAATAATATGTATCTGTTGATTAAGTCAACGAATAATATATATCAGTAGATTAAGTCAATTAATAAGATTAATCTGTAGGTTAAGTCAACTAATAAGATTAATTTGCAGAATAAGTTAACTGATAAGATGTATCAGTAGAAAATAAGTCAAGTTGACTTATCTTTATTTATTTGTCTTTTATTTATCTTATCTTTGATTTATCTTTAGATTAAGACAACTAATAAGATTTATCTTCTGTAGATTAAGTCAACTAATAATATTTATCCATAGATTAAGTCAACTGATAATATGTATCCGTAGATTAAGTCAACTAATTATATGCATCTGTAGATTAAGTCAACTAATAATATGTATCTGTAGATTAAGTCAACTAATAATATTTATCCATAGATTAAGTCAACTAATAATATTTATCCATAGATTAAGTCAACTGATAATATGTATCCGTAGATCAACTAATTATATGCATCTGTAGATTAAGTCAACTAATAATATGTATCTGTAGATTAAGTCAACTAATAATATTTATCCATAGATTAAGTCAACAAATAAGATTTATCTCTAGATGAAGTCAACTAATAATATTTATCCGTAGATTAAGTCAACTAACAAAATTTATCTGTAGATTAAGTCAAACATTAATATTTATACGTAGATTAAGTAAACTAATAATATTTATCTGTAGATTAAGTCAACAAACAAGGTTTATCTTTAGGTTATGTCAACTGATACTATTTCTTTGCAGATTAAGTCAACTAATAATATGTATCGGTAAATTAAGTCAAGTAATAAGATTTATTTGCAGATTAAGTCAAATTATAATATTTATCCGTAGATTAAGTCAACAAATAAGATTTATCTTTAGGTTATATCAACTGATACTATTTATCTGTAGATTAAGTCAACTAATAAGATTAATCTGTAGATTAAGTCAACTAATAATTTGTATCTGTAGATTAAGTCAACTAATAATTCTTATTTCCAGATTAAGTCAAAATTCTGAAATAATGGTGACAAGAGAAGGCGATTTACAGCGAAGTCTACCAGATTCAGTTGAAGAGATTAATATCTTCAATGGTGGCGTATTTTTCATTTCTTTTAGTTGGGATGAAAGAGAGTAGATAAGTATATAGCTTGGAATTAAGTCAAAATAACTTTTTAACCGTCATTTTGTTGTAATGCAGGTGTACTTCAAACATTTTTGCTACAGTTAACCCTAAATGAAAGAATTTATAAAATTTCGAATAATGAGTAAATAGAAACTAATGATTGAACAAGATTACTTATTTTCGATGATAAGATTAATTTTCATTTTCTCAACCGGTTCCGAAACAACTAATTAGTTTACTGTAGAGTTTTGTTTACATTTTGTTGTCGTCGTTATTTACTAATTGAAAAAAGAAATTCTGGAAACGTATCCACCCCCAAAGTAAGAAATTTGAACGTCGAATTTGCGCTCAAACTCAGGATTTACAGATCTTTAAAAAGTTTAATATGTCTCAAATGAATCCGAAAGAAGTTTTCCACAATACTGCATACTCAGTTCAACTACCTTACATAGCCGGTCACTCCCTTTAATAGCCATGAATATGCGGGAACAGTTTTAAAGAGCTTCATATAATAATTTAATTAAAAAACTAAATATCTGCAACATTCCATTATCAGAAAGTGAAGAATACGTCACTTGATGCATTCTTTCGATGAATGGTTTTTTTTAAAGTTTAACTGTATGTAATATTTTGGGTCCAGGAACATCTTTTTATAGAAAACAAATTTCTTGAAAATTATTAAATTTTTCTAAACCAATTCTTTGACAACCTGTCATATATTCTCGAGTTTATTCCAGAATGAAAGAAGAAATTGTAATGAATTGAATGATGGATATCGGGATTGATGCTTGATCCACTCTTTTTCTTAATCTCCAAGTTAAATTATGCTTGTTCTCTTCTTGTTTTTAATCTCCAGATTAATTAACCGATCGGGATTAAGGATATCCCATTCTAAAGTTCAGGGTTCATATTGTAATGTACTGTGTATAATTTGTGAACATTTATATTAATTTTACACTTTGAACTCCTTTCCAGGATCAAAGGGACTGAATAAATGCAGACAGAGGGATATTCCCATTTCTTATCTCTGTTCTGTGGCATGGGATTCTTCCTAATAATCTGTAAGAATATTATCTAACTATAAAATTTCAGGGGATGATAACAGAATAACATTTCAAGAATTTTATACAAAAACATTTAAGTGTGAATATCAACTCCAGCTTTATCCATTTGACACACAGGTATCAAATATCATGCTTCCTCATTATCATTAACTTGGGAAATTGTTACCGTAAACCTAACTGCTCTTCTTGTACTTACAACATTGTTTATCAGTGTTTCAGGTAAAATTCGCATCTGAGAAGTTATAGAATTTTGTTACTTTACTAAGGGTAAAGTTCAAGCCCTTTTCCCAAATCTGTCCTAGCTGCATTGCTTGGTGCCCTAACCAGTACTAGTCGTAGCTACCGAACCCTCTTGGGAAATTACTCATTTGGGAAGTTGCCACTTGGGAAATTACACACTTGGAAAGTCGCCCTTGAGAAAATACATTGGAGAAAATACCTATAACTTCGTTCCAGATTAGGTTGGGTTAATAAAGTAAGATAATCATGGGAGGTTGCTCTTTTTCAGAAGGAATGGGGGGAGGTGGGGGCGGGGGGTTCCACGGTATATTACGGTTAATTTGATCATACATTATAATATACACTTTTAGGAAGCCTCCCTCCAACAGCATATGTAAAGATGATTGATGTTTGGTTAATATTCTCTCAATTAATTCCATTCTTTGAGGTTATAATCTTAAACAAGAATATGTAATAAAGAGTATTTTTGTTGTTATTTGTGATCCTGAGGCCGAATTTAAAGAATTTAAGATGCGGCTTAAATTTAAACCTCGGCTCAAATATGGTTGATTCCACTTAAAATTGCATTACATTTTTAAAGATTTAAGCCGGCGCTCAATTGAAACCGGTTTTGGCAGATTTAAGGCGCGGCTCAAAATCATTAAATTCGGACACTGATCTTTCATAGCTCACAGTTTAACAAAAATTAACTATTTGTTATCTTAAACATTGAATAACAATTTTCAAGGTATTGTTGCATACTTTTATGGACAGCAAGCGTAATGACGACAATAGAGAGATTAACAATCATGGAGAAATAGTGATTGTGAATGAAGACAAGAAACCTGAACCTAAGATGACAATTGTTGAGAAAATGATGGTGAGGAAACAGTTATTTAGCGTTACAAAACTTGTCAACTTCCAGGGAGAGCAGATTAGCATGGTATAGTACGGTGGTAGGCGATTATAGCAATACAATGAAGACGACTTTTTAATTGTTAACAAGCTTTCTTTAGAAAAAAAAGTTGACAAGCAATTGAAGATAAGCTTTTTTGATTAACAGCTTCGCTCTGTTTCCATGCTTTTGTGTATCATGTTGTTTAAAAGCTTAATAAAAATAATTATTAAAATCAAAAGTCGTCTTTTTTGTATTGATAAAATCTCAAACCACTGTAGTTGAAGTAAAAGTTCAGTATGTTTGATTTTTTTAGGATTCATTTGATATCGGAAAGACGTTTTTACGGAGTATAATTTCTAAATAGAAGCTTTAATTCTTTGGAAAAATATCACTAGAAGGAATTGGGCCGTAGAAGAAATGGTTCTTTAAAAATTATTTAACATAACACAATTCTATTGTAAAATTGAAACGGATTAACTAATATTTTGGAAAAAAAAATTTTTATTCAGTCCTTTGTTTCTTTAATGTTTTACTGTTACGAAATGGTTTTCTTGCAAAGACGACAGTTGAAGATATTTATAAAAAAAATAAAGAATTCAAGATATTGATTTCAAAGAAGTTATGGATAATTTCTTAAGAAATATGCATAATAGTTTGAAGATTTTTGTGACATTTTCGTTTGGTTTTTTTAATAATTGTGATAAACTTTCTTTTGCAGACCCTCCCTTCTGATGATATTTTACACATTTTACTTAGAAATTATACATATTAATAACGTCTCATTGGTATAAATTGAATCTTAGACATTTTTCTCCAATACTGCATTCTTGGTTCAACTATGTTCCCTAGTCGGTCTCTCCCTTTAAACCAACCCATCTTTTTGCGTTATATAAAAGTTTCATTAAAAAATTAACCCAANGTTGGTGGAAAATAGGAAAAAGTTTTATGAATTTCTGAACAATGATAAGTACTGGCTGCGAACTGGAGAAATAATAGGTGAGCTATTGTAATATTGTTGTTTAAAGGGAGAGACCGTCTAGGTAACATATTTGAACGGAGAGTGCAGTATAGACAAATTCTAGAATTCATTTGATAAATTTTACGGTCTGTAACTTCTAATTACGAGCGTTTATTCGTTTGTAAGGATTCCTTAGAGGGGATGGTTTGCAGAAGAAACGTTTATTTTTACAATTATTTAATGACTTGGGGATACTTGTAGCAAAAATTTTACAGTAGACCAACTTGTTTTTTAAAATCAGATTGAGAAAATAAAATTAACACTTATTACAGGGGACGTTAGTTCCGAACCTAACAGATGGCCCATTTCTAACACTGAGTGTTAGAAATGAGCACAAATTGAAAGACTGGGTTTTTGGGATCCTGGCCCAGATCCAGAGTAAAAGTCGACAGTATAAACTATACCCAACATTTTATTAGACATTCGACGAGGACACCAATTCCCAATTTTAAACTTTTTTTGAAATAAAAATTATAACAGGAGTTCTTATTATATTAAATCTTTTGACCGTTTTCAAGACAATGTCAGGTTTTTCCTTTTCGAACATATCCTGAATTTGAAAATTGTAACGTTTTCGAGACAAAACCCACTTTCCCGTGTTTGAGTATAAACCGCCCTTCAGAACAAAGCTCACTTTCACAACTTACAAAATAAATCACTGAAAACAAAAATTATCTTATAAAGACTAAATTAACTTTGGAATTATTTCCAGAATCAAATCTCCACATTTTATCTGTTAAATTAGAGAATATCGATGATTCATTTTCAAGTATTTTAAATAAACAATTTCCCGCATTTCTAGTTAAATCTATATTGTAAGAACAAATGATATTAATAATTTCTCAATGCTGTCATGATTTTTAAATTATAAAAAACAGTTTGTTTTTTATTCTCTATTTTGTTTATATTGAACCTTATCAAAAAATTAGTCTTCCGTTGGATCGGGCAATTTTTGAAGAAAAAAAATCCAATGCATTGATTGGGCTTCTTGGATTTCCCAAGGATGTAATGCAAGGGAAGTTATTTCAGAAGTGTACACATCTTTTGTACTGCGCAGTGTACTATCTCTGGGCGGTAATGTAAACACAAGACGGATGTCAAAGCCTGACATGGGATCCATCTTTTACATAAAAAAATCAATGAAATATTCTAGTCATAGGCAACTATTATGTGAATTATCAAAATTATCAAAATTTAATGCTTTTAAACTCCTCGGATACTAAACGAACACTGATGCATCTATTCTTGTTTACAAATTCTGCCCAATTAACTTTCCTTGCATTACAACATTGGGATTTCCTTAACTGATATATTCTTCTCGTTATATATAAATATTCAAGCCACCTCAAATGCTCATCCTTTCAATAGCATCGTTTCAATGTGTAATTCCTATAAATGGTTATCAATCTTTTAAAACATGAATGAAATTTTCGCAAATAGATAAAGAAAGTTTTCAAGTAGTTTGTTCTCTTTTTTGCGCCCAATTTTCTCCATTCCAACGTAGAATTGGCGCAAATTATTCATTAAACTTAAAACTTTATTTTTGAATTTTATATTGGAAACCCTGACTCAGCTTACGATAAATTTAATATTATTATCTTATTATTATTTATTATTTCTAAAGTTAAAGGAACTGAGTCTTTGCCACAAACTCTTATTTTATAATCCCTATATCGTTGCAATCTGATGGTGGAAACCTTTGATAATTCTTACTTGTGTTATTTTAT